TCCCCATGAGCAGAGCCCAGCTCAAGGGCTTCAGTACAAATCCCTCCAGTAGGAAACTGAGGCCCAGAATGGGGAAAAATTTGCCAGAAGTCACTCACAGCTATGGGGAAACTGCTGGATTTTGGACGTGCAAGATTAGGCTGTGGATGGAATATCTATATGGAACCCTGTAGCCAGGAGGAAGTGGTGGTAGTCAGATCTAGGGCATTATATTGGGGAATCATTCTCATAACTAGGGGTGGACTGGAGATAGAGTAGGCTGGAGCCCAGGGGACACCCCCAGTTAGCATGCAGAAAAATGTCAGAGGAGAGCAGTAGGGCTTGAGTGTGTGTGTGAGAGAGAGAGACAGACAGACAGACACCGAGACACCACAGGCTCGGAAATTGTAAGCCCTTTTCAGGAGACCAAAGCAGACTTCGGATCAGCATTCTTGCCTGGACCTGCCTCCCCCAGGAAGCCCTCCTGGGTTGTTTCCAAGGTTCTCCCTTGGCTTCAGGCCCATTCCCAGCCCCTGATGATTGATTAACTGGTAGGAGGAGTAGAGGGGCCAGGGTATCCACCCCCACCCCCCAGGGACCCACCCCAACCCCTTAGCAGCTGCCGCAGTTGTTTCATTTAGCAGGTGAACAGAGAGGAGCTTCCCCTGTGCCGGTTTGTTGTTTTTCTTTAATTAAACATCTGGAGTTTCTGGCCTGGGTCTGGGATGCTTCATGGACCCTTTGCTGACAGGTTCCCCCTCCCCCTGTACTCCCCTCCCATAGACAGGGGCTCCCTCTCCTCCCCCTCTGCCCTCAGGGAACCCTTGGCCTGAGGGAGGATATCCAACTCCTGCCCTTGGGGACTCCCTAGTTTGGGGGGCTGGAAAACTCAGGCCCCCCACTTCAAGTAGCCTGTGATCTGGGGTGGAGAAAAGTACTGTTCCTTCTCTTGAAGAGCCCCAGATCTGGGGGCTGGGAAGGAGACACGATTCTCTCCGTGGGGAGCCCTCGGCCTGAGGGAGCTACTTGGCCCTACCCTGGGGGAACCCGAGGTGTTGGGGGAGAGATCTTTCTTAAGGAGGCCTTAGTTTGAGTGAGGAGGAGATCTGGACAGGGTAATGGTCAGGATATGCATATAAATAATCTCCAGGCCTGCGCTGGGGTGAGTTGGGGGGGATGGAGAGGGATCTGCCCAGGCACGGTAGAGGTCACCTTCTCCAGCATTTCCTGTGAGGGCAGTGTGGTGTGGTGTGGTGTGGTGCGGTGCCAATGCCACCGAGTTTGGAGTCAAAGGACCTATGTTCTAATCTGGGCTTGGCTGCTAACTACCTGTGTGACCTTGGCGAGGTTTTTCCTCTCTCTGGGCCTCAGTTTTCTACAGAGAGGTTTACGTTGGATGCTTCCTAAGATTCCTTCTGACTCAAAATCCTATAATCTTATGATTGAGGGTGAGGAGGTGGTGGGGGTGGGAGAGGTCTCTCATCCCCATCCCTCCTTGGAGTAAGCCTTAGCTTCTCTCTGTTTCTGTCCCTCAGTCTGTCTTTCTGGCCGTCTCCAACACTGTCTCCTCCCCCACAGCTGGGGGCTTGGCTGAACTCCAGTAACCCCATTAAGGAGGCCTCTGCCCTGTTCCCTCCCCCCTCTCCCCAATCGATACAGCCGGTTCCCTTTCCGGCTTTACCCATGCATAGTGGAGCTATCTCTGGGGAGAGGAGGTATGTATGGAACTAC